TCCATGATCCTTTATCGCATACATCCTCTTGAAGCTTATGTATCGTTCCTACCTCCACTACCCTCACTAGCTGGCTATTCCACTTCCTGACTTCTCTATGACTGAAGAAATACATGTACTCCTAGACAACCCTTTGACTCATCCTGGTCTTTAACTTTCAATTGTGGACCCCTTGTTTCTGTGTCCCCTCTCTGGAACATCCTGTCCTGTCCAACATTTTTTTTTTTTTTTTTTTTTTGTCTATTCCATGCAGTATTTTTGATATTAGTAATCATAATCTCCCCTACCCACCTGTCCTTCCAGATGTCATCAGGCCGATTTTCCCTTAACCTATCTCCGTAGGACATTCCCCTAAGCTTCTGGAACTAGCCCTTGTTGCAAAAGTTTGCACTTTCTCTAATTACTTGACACGCTAGACAGGATGGGTTCCAAAACTGCTGCTGCATCACCAAGTATGGGCCTGACATTACATGGTGTACAGAGTCTGAACAATTCCTTAGGGGGGGGGGGGGGGGGGGGGGGGGGGGGGGGGGGGGGGATGGATCAGAATGCATATTCTCAGGTTTGCCAGCACACCTCATATGCCTACAGCAGTTTATCTGGTTGATAGTGAGGCTTAGGAGGATGATTTCGGTATGATAACTCACCCCAAAGATCCTTTTCCTGAGTGAGGTTTGCAGTCCCTTGGCCACTAGCCTCATACTCTGTTGGGTTCTTCTTTTCCTCCCTGATCGTCTCCATGGCATTACATTTGGGGGTGGGGGGTTAAATTCGAGGAGCCTTTGCTGGACCAAGCTTCCAACCTATCCAGGTCCTCTTAGTTGTCCTGCCTGATCCACAAAAATCTGTTTAATTCTCCTCATTACCTTCATATTCATCTGCAACAGAATACAACAAAGAAAAAAAACACATCTGATCTATCCCTTCTGTCATGTCCATTCACATATAACACAAAATAGCATCTGTCCTAGGATTGACCTGTTAGGACCTCGCTTGTCCACAGCTCCCATACAGGACCCTTGTCAAGTACCATGACTCATGTTGCCTCCCTGCAGTTATTCCTCTTACCACTGCAGTGCCCTTCCTGTTATACATGCTGATCCTCTAGCTTTTGCACTAATCTCTTGTGAGGAACTGTGTCGAAGGCATCAAGCGTCCAAGAAAAAGCAAGCTACGCCACCCTCTTCTCTCCATGTCATACTTCCTTACCTTTGTCAAAAACTCCATTAGGTATGTGACACCAGGATTTGCTTTCCTATTCCATGCTGGTTAAAATTCAATAAGCTAGTTTCTTTCTATGCTTCCCCCACACTCTCCTCATGATAATCTTTTCCCATGACTTTGCACACTATATATGTCAGGTAAAGTGACTGGTCTATAGTTTTGTGCCTCATGCGTGTGCTCACCACATTGTGGTTGCAAGGGTTGAGAATCATTCCCTGGCCCAGCCTCTTCACTGTTCGCTACTAAGTCACTCTTCCCACTCCATGAGCTTTTATCTACCACTTCATAAGCTATTTTATGGATCCTGCCTCCACTACATCCACTTCCAGACTATCCACTTCTGACAACTTCTGTGACTAAGTAATACTTCCATAACAGCCTGTGATTCATCCGAGTCTTCAACCTTCCACTGGACCCCTGTTTGCTGTTGTCCTCACCTCTGGAACATCCTATCTCTGTTCAACCTTGTCAATTTCCTCTCACATTTTTCTATGTCATTATCAAATCCCTCCTGTCCTTCCGTGTCATCAGGTCGATTTCCCTTAACCTCTTTCATAAGACATTCCCTCATAAGCTCCGGGACTAGTCTTGTTGCAAACCTTTACACTTTTTCCCTCTAGCTTCCTGAACGTGCTTGGCTAGGTGTGGTTTCCAAAACTGGTGCTGGCATACTCCAGTATAGGCCTAACATACTCATGTACAAGGTCCTGAACGATTCCTTATTAACCCTTTGACTTCGCAACCCCAAATCCTGAGTGTGTCTCCTGGTGTCGAAAAAATTTTTTTGAAAAAAAAAAAGAAAAAAATCTTATGAAATGATAGAGAATCTTTTCCCCCCGATGGTAATGACACCAAAAATAACGAAATTTTGATGGGAAAACTTATTGAATTACGCTCTCAAGAAGTTAGCAACCTTGCGCAATATTTTACAAATCGCCAATTTTCGCCCAGCTTGAGCCCTATTTTTCGGCTAATTCCATTGTTACATTCACAAACGTGGTGATAATTATACATTATACAAATTGCATATCGATAAATCTTCTATTTTTTGGTTTGAATAAAAATTCAATTGTGAATAAAAAATCAAATGGAATTAATTTGTAAAGCCTCCAAAAACGAAACTAACGAACAGAGGAAAGGTTAGTTTAGTGGCCAGGGGAAAAGGGAAAAGGGGAAAGAAGAAAAAAAAAAAATGCATTGTTATTCTGAACCCTATTTTGGTGAAATTGGGATAACCTTGAACTTGTGTTAAATTGGCCAAATTACCAAATTCCGAACACTTTATTGTAGTTGAAAACAGTTGACTGGGGCATTTAATGTGCTCAATCGATAGAATAGAAGTAATACTAGTGAGATAGATAAGAATTGGTCAACTGAATAAATGTAATTGCCTAAAATGGGAGTCAAAGTCGGCCAAATCGCCGATTTGTAAATATCGCTGACACATCAAAATTCGTGAGAGCATAATTTCGTCAATTTTCCATCAAATTTCGTACTTGTTTTATTACCTTCAGAAAAAGATTCTCTACCATTTCATAAGAAAAAATAAAATTTTTTTTGGAAAATTCTTGGACCCTGGTGCACACTTTGAAATTTGGCCTCTGGACCCTGAAAGGGTTAAATAGAACTAAACTGTAATAAATCATATTGTAAATTGTTTAAAATTGTTACATTGTAATACTGTAATCTTCATTAACTAATTCAATAGTGTAATAAGTCTGTACTAAACTTGTCAAAACCATGTACCATTACCTGATAGAATATACAATTCTACTGTACTCACTGTAACTCATCTAATGACCATATGAACTATGTTTTATTGCCTTACTAATCTTAAGTTAATCTCTAAGTTTGACCGAAATGCTCTGCATACAAAGGGGCTTTTGGCATGTACACCCAACTATTATATTCATCTGTACAACCATGTAATTTGTCAAAACAAACATCTTCATCTTTAATCACTGAAGAAATTGTTTTTTTTTTTCAGTGTTCCTGTATAAAACTAGTGATCTAGTGGAGTTAGCCTCACAAACACTCTGTTTTCTATTATCCCAGGACCTCGGGGTAAAAATGGGAAGACATGTTCAGAGCAGTAATTATTTTACATAGATCATTATACATAGCAGTTACATAGCTACATAGATTATCATACATAGCAGCATATGTGTAGAGAACCTACGATAACCCAAAAAAGTCAGAGTGACTTATTTCCACTGTTTCTTACGAGTTCTTTCTTGAATTCTATCGTGTTTCTCACCTTCTTTACCAAAGGGCTGGCACTCTGAAATTTCTTGGCACCATAATCGTTTATTTCACAGTTGCAATCAACAAAAAAACACCAGAAACAATGGATGAAGCCACGAAGTATTCCTTATCCAACAAGAGAGACGTGCAGATTGAGTGTGATACACATGAGGAAGAGCGTCGCCAGTCGGCAGTGATGCGTCTCATATGGCCTATTTCCAAGAGCATAGCTGATATCCGGGACAAAATTTTGCCACTAAAAGTGCTCGATTTCTGAATCGGCCGATTTCTGTGATGGCCTATAACCTGGGTTCCACTGTATCTTATATTTTCCTGCAGTTTTAACAATAGTCCTTTTTCGTTTCTTAGCTTTTCTGCTCTTTGAATTTATGCTAATCCCTGATCTTTCTTAGTTCTCTCTCACTGATCTATGCTCACTGCTAATCACATTTCCTGCATGGCACCCTCCCGTAACAGTCGTTATTCTGAGGCCTGGCACTCTATATTTGACACTATAATCTATATTATTTCTCTTCAGTGATCACTGGTATTTCCTTTATGTGGGTTTAAAAGAGTATGTGCACCTTAAGTTTTGCACACGTCTATTTTCCGCACTAAGGCCCCTCTGGGACTGTCAGAGAAATGCAATTTTGACTGAGCTTAAACACGCGAGACTTCTTCACCCACCGCCGCTCAAAGGGAGATTTATTCTTTTGTGGAGGATCTGCTGAAAGTCCACATTTAGGGTCATTTTCACCTCCTTGATTCCTTACCTAATGCTGTGTTGTTCACCACTGCTCCAGTTTGATGAATGGGTTATCATACTGTTTAAGCTAGCTGTTTGATTGCTTCAATGATCCAGAAGTTAGCTTATGTATGGACTTGTTGCTGTCAGTCACATTCTAAGTCGGGTCCAATTGAGCACGTACCGAGTGTATACTGAGCACACACACACACACCTATATTACTCTTGCATTTATGAGTACATCTCATTATAGCAAAGTACCAGATGGTACGTATTCATAATAGCAGTACAGTATAGTGTACTTTATCTTATCAAATGTGCCCATAACACCATAAGCTTATGTGTACAGATTAAGTCTATACATATAATAAGTAATACTCTGAGATTTGTGTAGGAGCTTATCTCCTTAATTATTCAAGTTAAATTAACTAATTCTTACCACCTAGACACCTTTGTTATTAAAGATCTCAACTTTTATTTGGTTGATTTGTATTCATCCAGATTCAATCCAAAAAGCACTATTGAGAAGCCACATAATTTACAGGATAAATGGACTAGAATATACTATGACAAACTGTTATAAAACCAGAAACAGGCTAGATGCTAGAGGGGGATCAGTAAGTTTATCTGCTATTATTCTCTGGAGATATTTTCACTTAATAGATGTTGCATTCTGTAACACACTACAGGTTTATCTCTTTGTAATTCTTATATTCTCATTTCCCCTTTTCCTTACAGAAGGGAAAAGTGACAGAAATAGTTGCCATATCTAGCTCTGATATCTTACCTGAGGTTCACCTGATATGTACTGACTGAGAAAGTGGCAGTAAGGAGGGCTGTCAGTGATTTCATAATAGCGAATATTTCCATCACCCTGAAACAAAAACAGTAATTTAAAACAAAAATACATTCACTGATAATATTATTTTAACTCGACAGCCATTTCTCGCCAGGGCAGGGAGACTATTACCTTACATTCATGGGGAAACACTAAATCCATAAAGGCTCATACAATGCCTGGGAGAATAGGAGTTAATCAAGTTTGATCCTAGAAAGGGCCGGCTAGCTCCAATTTCTTTGATCAAGAGCCCTTCACCAACATCAAGACATCCCTCCTGAAGATAAAGGGTTAACAATCAGCTGTCTCCTACCAATGCAGGGTGACCCAAAAAAGAAAGAAACACTTTTACTATCATTCAACAACATTCACACATAATCACTGTCTTTGCAGATGTGCCCAGATAAATATAATTTTTTTTTGACACACTGGCCGCCTCCCACCAAGGCAGGGTGACCCCAAAAAGAAGGAAAAAACTGTCATCGTTCAACACTCTCACCATCTCTCACATAGTAATTATGATGATTATTAATAAACAAAAGATGAACATATAACCCACCTTCCCAGCCACAAAAACAACTCTTGTATCATGGTCGTAAAATGGTGTGAGGACGCCTGAAGATGAATCAATGGTATCTAGTCGAAGAGGTGTGTTTAGACTTTTTTCATCCCACACTCCATACTGTCGGTCGCTAAAGCGGCTGAACCCTGTGGTGAACACTAGACCAGTGTCTCCACAGTATACTGCCTTGCATGCTTTAGAACCCTCATGACACACACCTTCCTGAAAATTGAAAATTGGCTTTTTTTTTATTGCATCATAGCAAATGGCAAGCAAGATATAAACCACAGACCTGTAGATGCCTATCTACCAAGAATCTAATAAAAAGGTCAAATGTAGCTAGATATCCTCTTTTTGGAAGGAAGCTCCAGAGACTTGCCGCTAGGTTGAGTTTAAAGTGTTGTGCACTATCAACATTCAAGTAGACCTCAAATAGATGCAGACAAGTGGAATATTAAAATTTGACACAGGAGAGCATTTGCATCATAATATCAGTAGGAAAAAAAAGAAGGAAAAGAAACCTCAGTACAAATGTTAAAGAAGAACAATATTTTATCTAGGAGTAAGCATGATTCACAAAAGACAACAAGCTACTCATGAATAAAACATTAGTGATATCTCTTACTATTCAAAATACTGTATGTATAGAAGAATATCCAAATGCTAAAAAAAATTAATAACATTAGAAATTAAAAAATAAATTAACTAATTTGGATGAAAAATACAAAAACAAAGTACTTTCTGAAATAACACATCTCAGTAAATAACGAATGAAGCCTTTAGTCTGAGGCATGTGCTGAATGGCTGGTTCAGTGAGACACCCAACTTACCACATTCACTGCAAATAAATTTATAAGCAATAAATTAGTTGTGAAAAACTAAAGTTTGGTGATTGCAATGATTTATATGAATTGGTAGGTCTGTTTTCCCCCAAAAAAATTACAATGTAGTTGACAAGAAGTGAGTTAGCATCAAGGATTAATATTAATGTACTGTGAAGTTGGAGGTACAGTAGCTTCTTGATAAAATCTTGCAAATGGATATGTGCACTGAATAATTTACCCAGAAAAGATATAGATTAAACTGCTAAAACATATAAAAATATTCTTCTAGAGGCTTGTTTTAATAAAGTGCAGATATGTAACATATAGTATGCAGTACAAACCATGACTGTAATTAGTATAAAATGATTGTATTCATGGGGTAATGCTAAACCTATAAGGGTCATACACTGTCTGAGGAATGGGAGGCAAAGAGGTTTGATCCAAGGAAGATAACAGCTCTAATGCCTTAGATCACAAGCCTTTTACCAGCATTAAGATACCCCAAAGTTTCAGCATGAGAGCAGTAAAACACAAGGCAACACACTAAGAATAGCAACAATCAATGAGGATTCCAGCCCCACGGCCCCAACCTTAATTATACGCAACAAATAACTTAAGGCTGTCAGCATATTTTAGCTTAGAAAATGTCATGACCTTGACTTGAGCTAGCACAATGTCTTTACAGGTTCTCAGCAACATTATATAACCAATAAATAAGGACAGAAATAAACAACTTACGGTGCAGAAATATTAATCACAGACTGTGAAAAATATTAAAAAAATATTCATAAATTTAAAAAAAAAAAAAAAAAAAAAAAAATTTAACACGTCGGTCATCTCCCACTGAGACAGCATGACCCAAAAAGAAAGAAAATCCCCAAAAAGAAAATACTTTCATCATCATTCAACACTTTCACCTTATACATAATCACTGTACAGTGGACCCCCGCATAACGATTACCTCCGAATGTGACCAATTATGTAAGTGTATTTATGTAAGTGCGTTTGTACGTGTATGTTTGGGGGTCTGAAATGGACTAATCTACTTCACAATATTTCTTATGGGAACAAATTCGGTCAGTACTGGCACCTGAACATACTTCTGGAGTGAAAAAATATCGTTAACCGGGGGTCCACTGTATTTGCAGAGACACTGAGATACAACAGTTCAGAAATCCCTCCAAACTGCCAATATCCCAAACCCCTCCTTTAAAGTGCAGGCATTGTACTTTCCATTTCCAGGACTCAAGTCTGTCTAACTGCTTTCCCTGAATCCCTTCACAAAATATTACCCTGCTCACACTCCAACAGCTCATCAGGTTCCAAAAACCATTCATCTCCATTTAATCCTATCTAACATGCTCACACATGCTTGCTGGAAGTCCAAGCCCCTCGCCCACAAAACCTCCCTTACCCTCTCCCCCCAACCTTTTCGAGGACGACCCCTACCCTGCCTTCCTTCCCCTACAGATTTATATGCTCTCCAAGTCATTCTACTTTGATCCATTCTCTCTAAATGACCAAACCACCTCAACAACCCCTCTGACTAATACTTTTATTAACTCCACACCTTCTCCTAATTTCCACACTCCAAATTCTCTGCATAAAATTTACACCATACATTGCCCTTAAACAAGACATCTCTACCTCCAGCCGCCTCCTCGCTGCAGCTCAAGCTTCAACTCATATAAGAGTGTTGGTATCACTATACTTTCATACATTCCCTTCTTTGCCTCCATGGATAACATTTTTTGTCTCCACAGATACCTCAGCACACCACTCACGTTTTTTCCTTCATCAATTCCATGGTTAACCTCATCCTTCATAAACCCATCCGCTGACAAGTCAACTCCCAAATGTTTGAAAACATTTACTTCTTCCATACGCCCTCTCTCCAATGTGATATTCAATTTTTCTTTATCTAAATTATTTGATACCCTCATCACCTTACTCTTACGTATGTTCACTTTCAACTTTCTACCTTTACACATACTCCCAAACTCGTCCACTAACCTTTGCAACTTTTCTTTAGAATCTCCCATAAGCACAGTATCATCAGCAAAGAATAAATGTGTCAACTCCCAATTTGTATTTGATTCCCCATAATTTAATCCCACCCCTCTCTCCAACACCCTAGCATTTACTTCTTTTACAGCCCCATCTATAAATATATTAAACCATGGTGACATTAAACATCCCTGTCTAAGACCTACTTTTACAGGGAAGTAATCTCCCTCTCTCCTACACACCCTAACCGGTGCCTCCTTATCCTCATACAAACTCTTTACAGCATTTAGTAACTTACTACCTATTCCATACACTAGTAACATGCCACATTGCTCCCATATCCACTTTATCACATGCCATTTCTAAATCCATAAATGCAATGAAAACTTCCCTACCTTTATTTAAATACTGTTCACATATATGCTTCAATGTAAACACTTGGTCTACACATCCCCTACCCACTCCAAAGCCTCCTTGCTCATTTGCAATCCTACTCTGTCTTACCTTTAAATCTTTCAATAATAACCCTACCATACACTTTACCTGGTATACTTAGTAAACTTATTCCCCTATAATTTTTACAATCTCTTTTGTCCCCTTCCCAAAAATATATCCCCCCCTGCTTTTAACATTTCTGTCATGATCCCGTCAGTTCCAGCTACTTTACCCTGTTATTCTACGTAATGCCTCATACACCTCTCCCACACTCACACCCTGCTCTTCTTCACTCCTAAAAGATGTTATACCTCCCTGGCCAGTGCATGAAATTACCGCCTCCCTTTCTTCGACATTCAAAAGTTCCTCAAAATATTCTCGCCATCTACGCAATACCTTCAGTTCCCCATCAACTAATCCCCCTAATCTGTTTTTAACTAACAAATCCATTCATTCCCTAGGCTTTCTTAACTTGTTTACCTCACTCCAAATTTTTTTCTTATTTTCAGCAAAATTTCTTGACAGTGCCTCTCCCACTATCATCTGCTCTTATTTTGCTCTCTCTGCACTTCTCTTCAGAGTGCAGGAATGGATTAATGGCTTTTCAATTAATTTAACCCTTTGGGGGTCGACAGGTCCTCTCAGAGACTTGTTCTCAGCGTCGGCCAAATTTCAAAAAAAAAAAAAAAAAAAATTCTTATGAAAAGATGGAGAATCTTTTCCCAATCATAATGACACCAAAAGTATGAAATTTGATGGAAAACTTACTGAATTATGCTCTCGCGAAGTTAGCGGTCTCAACCATGTTTACGCATCGGTGATTTTGCCCACTTTGAGCCCTATTTTCGGCCAATTCCACTAGTCGACAAAAATCATGACTATTTCGCTAGAATTCCATTTTTTCTATCAATGAGTACAAGAAACCACCCATTTACCAATTTCAACTATCCAATAAAGTGGTCAGAATTTAGCAATTTTGCCAATTTCACACAAATTTCAAAAGATGCCAATTTCCAAATAGGGTCCAGAATAAACAAGAAAGACATTCCTGGCACTAAAATAACAAGTTCTCTGTTCGTTAGTCACATCCGCAGGCCCCTCTTATATTTCTTTGGCATTCCACTTTGAATTTTTATTCTTACAAAACAAAAAAATTTACTGTTATGCAGAGTACTGCATTAGTGTAGAAATGGTATAAATAATATCAGCGCACTTGTAAAAGAATATTAGACTCACCAGTTGATGTGTATTGGACGCTTGGCATGATTTGTTTACTTTTGAACTTTGGTAAAAATCGAACATTTCTGCTACTTTGAGCTCAATTTCAAGGTACTTTTCATTGTAAAACCAGTCAAAATCATCTGAATTTCTGTAATATGTCTTCCATTCTATAAAAGGAGACCAAGAAAACTAGAATACAACAATAAATACCATACGAAAATAGTACAGTGCAAAGTCGCTGTTTTAATCCAAAAACACAGTCAAAGCTTTTTTTTTTCTCATTATGCACTGTGTGCTGCGGGATTTTTTTTTTATACTGCGCACACTGACCACATAGACCCGTTCTTACATACATAGGCCTACCAGCTTTCTCTCACTAGATTTGAGGGCGCTAGAATTTAGGCATACTAGTACAGTGGACCCCCGGTATTTGATGGCATCGGTATTCGATAAATCCAGCATTCGATGCAATATATCGCAAAAAATTTTCCTCGGTATTCGATACGATTCGTACGAGACGTGTCCACGTGTGGCCTGAACTGCCCCGTGTGTGCCAGTGTTTACAAGTCAGCCAGTGCGTGCGCATCTAAGGATACATTCGGTACATTCCATATTATCCATATTATCGCTGTGTTTGGTGCTTGTTTCTGCAAAATAAGTCACCATGGGCCCCAAGAAAGCTTCTAGTGCCAACCCTTTGAGAAAAAAGTCGCTAATGACTTATGAAACGAAGAA